CCCGGCTGGAGCGTTCCCTTGGAAATCCTTTAGAAAAGCAGTTGCCTCTCATATTTGCAGCTCCCACCCAATCCGTGGCTCTTAAGTTGCTTTCAGGTGGTGCAGCTCCGTGTCCAAACCTAAACCCACACATCGGGCAGCCCTGACCGGTTGCATTTCTCAGTGACTGTCTTGTGGGGGGGGTGGTGAGGTGTTTTTTGTGCAGGGGCTATAGTTATAACTAAATGGTACTTAATTATTTTTTTACGAATTTTCAAGGCCTATGTCCCAATTCTCTAGCTGTCGCTGTGTAGTTACACTGGAAACTCCATTTTTTCCTTCTGACATAATGGAGATGTTTTGACACACTTAGGCCATGCTCTACTGTCGCCTATACTGTAAGTATTTCTTCTTCCCCTTCTCAGCTTGCCAAGAAAAGCATTCAGCGACACAGGGCCAGGCTTTCTCAGCAGCGTTCCTTCAAGCCATGCGCTCCCAGGTCTGCTTCCCCCCGCTGAAGTAACTCCAGCAGCAGAATGGAAGAAGTCTGTGACCGAGGCTTGGCTCAAGCTTTCTCTCACCCATCGGCTTCTCCTTCCCCTTTATGTGAAAAGGGCATTAAATGCTTTATTTGTGCATTTCCCTGCTGTGCTGGAGCGCCCCCAGCACCCCTTCCCTGGGATAGGAGCTCAAAGCAGCTGGAGCCCTGCGCTAGCTCTGCCCCAGCTTATCCCAAGAGCAAGCTGTTTGTCCCCAGTGCTAAGCGGGGCGCTGCCAGGCGGCTTTTCCCAGCCCTGGAGAAGGGGCACAGTGGGGGACAGGAGCTCTGGGAAGCTCTATGACTCCCTGTGACTCCAGAGCTGCTCGGCTGCTCTCCCCCGCAAGCCCAAAGGCCACGCTGGAGCCCTCGCTGGCCGTGGCTCACAGCACAGCTCTGTTCCCCCTGGTAGGACCTTTCTAAGCACATCTAACCCCAGGCTGCGCGACTGTTCTGGACAGCAGGACTAGGACAGGGGTGGCAGCACAGGGTGCTAATGCTCTTTCCCAAATATGAACACAGGGAAGTCCCCCAGCCTGGCATTGGGGCAAGACTCCCCAGCATTAGGCAACATGCAGCCCGCCAGGCTTTAAGCAGTGGTTAAAAGCTGTTTGGTCCTGAGCATTATACACACACAGGGGATTCAAACTCTGCCTTCCACCGATGAGTGGGGTAGGACACAGACTCCTCTGCCGCAGGAGCAACGCCTGCAGCTGCCAGGGCCTGGGGTTGTGCAGCTCCTTGCTCCCTTCACCCACAGACCAGAGTTAACCTTGGGCACCTGCACACTGCTGCTCGGCTTTATTTTTCAGAAGCCCACCCTCATGCTGTAAGGCACTTCCTAGGCAATTAGTGCTCATTAGAGAACCATTATAGTAAGAGGTAATGGTTATCTTACTATAAACAGGCAATTTCCAGGGAAAGCAACTATAAATCAATCCAGGCAAGTAACATTACTCTTTAAACATAGAATGATAGAACCTCCCCCTGCCCAGGGGGATTTAACAGCCTGGGAGATGCAGTGCTTAGAGCCAGGGTTTGGGGGTGGGATGGCAGGGCTGGGGGAACAGTTGGGCTTGATGAGCTTAAAGGGCTTCTCCAACCTCTAACAACCCCAAGTATTTTATCATTAACTGTAGGCTATGGCTACAAACCCATTAGCGAATAGGGAGAGCGTTAGTTCCCTTCACTAATGGGGGGAGCGACCTGCCAGCGTACAAGCTGCAAATAACTTGTTTCCTTTTACCTCTGCAACTTTTTTTTTTTTTTTTTTTTTTAGAAATGAGGGCAGAACCACCCACCACCAAGTCACAGTCAAAACATTTCCCCATCCTCCCCCTCTTTTGGAGCTTTTTTATGGCCTTATTCAATAGACCTCCTGTCTGCATCTCAACTCCCACTCTCAACTCTCCAGAACAGGAATCAGATCTCATCTGCAAAATCGACTCCAATGAGTGAGCTGCTTCCCAGCAGCCAATACAAAAAGCATTTTGCAGGGACTGCTCAGGTAACTGCTACCCACAGCTGATGTCCTCCAGCTGGGGGCTCAACCAATACCTCCCAGTCTCCTGAGCAGGAGGAGGACATCAAATACAACATTAGTACCGAGGGTAAGCTACCAGAATCCGACCAGGAATGGCTCCTTTAAAATATACCCCAAGTTCCATTCACCGATATCCTTGGAAAAGGCATTCACTGCCCGCCTCCAGCAACAGAACTCAGTGTTCTTGATGACAAATTAAGCTTTTGTGCCTTTAGGCCCTTGGAAGGAGGTAGTCGAAAGGGAACTCTGAAAGCTCATCTTTAAACGAGAGACTTTTATTTACAGAAATTATCTTTGAGCATTCCTTCACAAGATACCTATGCCATAACCTAGGAAACAGGATTGACTCGAAGAGTTTAGTTTAGCAACTCTGTTAGCACCTCTGTGCTAATCTTCACAGGGGGGAAAAGAAATTACCCTGGAAAATTAAAACACCTTTATAACATTGTCTGCTACCCGCATCATGGACTCCAGAGCTCCGCTTAAGCCAAGTCAGTGCACGGCAAGACCAAAAGAACAAGGGGAGAAAAGCACACACAGTGAAAAGTCAGTTTAATGAAATCTTGCATGACAAATTATGGCAATTATCATAATTGGAATTCCTAAAACTAGAGAAGATTATGGGGAAACATGGTAAATTTTCAAATATGTAACATGTTTCTAGAAAGGAAATAAACCATTTTCTACACTCACTGGGAGAACAAGAGGCCGAACCGCAGAAGGGGAACGCTTTAGGAACAGTCGTTTAATGGCAGCAATACCTAAGCAACAGAATTGCTCAGTGACTGGAAACAGGGGGGCGGGGGGGGGGTTCACCACCACGAAGCTGGAGCTTTTCTATTCCTGCAGGCTTCTACCAGTTTGGACGTCTGCCCAGGCTGGTTTCAGTGGCAACTGCTGAGGACTTGTTTATTCAGATCCTTCCCTTGCCCTGCCTTCTCTGAAGCAGCGCATCATCTGCTGGGAACCAGACTATAGGAAGATGTTGGAACTACACATTTTCTTACCTTAACATTTGTATTTCCCGTGGGTGGAATCTTATTTTTAATTTCATGGCTAAGAGCTTTACTTCAGCTTTTAGTAACACCACCATTCTTGCAACATTCTCCCCATGAGATGTGCTCAACTTTCTTACACTCTTCAGTATCTTTTTTTTCCTTTTTTTTGAAAGGCAGCCCGAACAAGATACACAGTAATTGCTAACAGCATCCATACTTTAACACCACCTATGAGCAAAGATGCAGCAGGCCTGGAAAATTTGAAAGGCAGCCCAAACAAGATACACAGTTATGGATGCTGTTAGCAATTCTTTAACACCACCTATGAGCAAAGATGCAGCAGGAGGGTGGTGCAAAGGGAAGGTTGATGTAAGACAGCAAACCTGGCCATCACCAACCTCCCTCCAAACAGCCCTTGCCCAGCACAGGAAATACAACGCAGGGCTTCGGGCATTTTGTTTGCCTGTTTTCTGATAAAAGCTTTCATGTAGTTCCCGCGTACGTTTTGATATGACAGCCTTGCACAAATCTGGCAAAAGGCGTGGGCGTTATCTGCTTCTACCTGTCACTGGTTTCCTAAGGCTTAAAGCAGAGAGTGACATAAGAGTTTTGCTTTGGCCTAACTCCATCTTGCTGGGCAGGGCCTGAACTCAATCTGTGGCCAATTCCGTTAGTGGTTTTCATTGGTATTTTCCTCTTCACTATAAACATATATGCAAAGCTTCCAGCCTAAATAACATTTGTATCAGTAAACAGTTGCCAGGTTGGTTTGGTTTTTTTTTTTTTTAGAATGCTGTAGGTGATTGTGTACCACCACTAAACCCCAAAGCAACGGTTTAGTCCGTTTTTCTGAATCTCCATGCACCTAAAATTTCATTTCAGGTAAAGCACCTGGAAGAGAGGCTCTGCATAGACCCTGTGGAGTGTGGGACCAAGAAATAAAACATTCATTTCTCCAAAATTAGGCCCCGCTTGTTAATTTTCTTTATGCTGGCAACAAGCAGCTTCATGCTGCAAGGTTGTTTGAAAAGCCAAGGTTGTTTACATCTGACTATCTCAGTGTAAAACAGATGCAAGATCCAAAAATGCAGATCACTTATTGGAAAATACACAAGTTCCCCAGACCTTGTGATGCAGAAACAACTGGGTGGGTGGGTAAGAAACACGCTCTGCTTCTGTTAGTGAGCTGCATGAGAAGGGGTGCACCAACAGGTTTGTGCATGGTTAAAAACCCCATAACTCTAAGGAGAAAATAAAAAACAAAATGCAAAAAGGCATGAGCAGACAATCCAGAGAAATCACAAATGCAGTGGCACAGCTAATCATTAGCCCTTTTCACACCCTGGACAAGTAATCCAAGATGTTCCTTCAACGGGCTGTCAGGAAAAGTAAAGCACCCCCTGCCCCAACAGCTTAAGTCTCCAACAAGGGTTAACAACCAACAACAGGTAAAAACCGTGTTCTTTCCTCCCAGTGGAAAGTGTCTTTCGCTGACATAGAGGCAATACGGACCGTTTTGCTATTTGAATCATTGCCAAGTTGCTTTTGTGCTACAACCTGGGTTTTCATTTTCAATGCAGGCTACATTAAATGTTTCTTCCCCTCTAATTTTCTTTTAAACGGTACATTTCAGAGCTCCTCAACCTACAGGAGAAAGAGCAAGCAAGTCAGAAATTCTCTATCAGTAAACTACAAAAGGAAACAGAACAGTTTGGGGGATTTCTAGGGAGAGCGATGTGGTCACTGTTCTTAGTGACTACCAAATTCCAACTTTGCTGGCCAAGAATTACCGTATGTTTTAATAACAAAATAAACCTCCACTTTCACACAGAAGGCCCAAATGATTGGAAAACATCCAAAGCAAAACGTGAGTTATGGTTACAGTAGGAGGACTTCAGAATTACACACAGGAAAACACATTCTTGCTTTTATTTTGGTGGAACAGAGTACAATATCCTTCAGCCCAAACTATTCAAAGCTGGCAAGATTACCTTTTTCTTCATGCTGCAAGACTTCAGGAAACAGAACAGGGACAGGAAGGGTTAGAAGTTAATTTTCTATTTAAGGCCGTTAATTCAGCAAGGTGTTTAAAAACGTACTCAACTTGAAGCGTGAATAGTTGCGTTGACTTCAATAAGATTATTCACATGTAGTTAAGTCAGGCAAGTGCTTAAATGGCTTGTTGAATCAAGCCATTAAATGAGAGCTGCTTTATTATACAGATTTATCTTAATGGCTGACAGAGCTCATTACATGAGCCTATTTTATTCTTCCAAGGGCTAACACAGCTGTTTCCTCATCCGCTTTTCTGAAGGTGTAACCTGTATGCCTCCTACGCATTACTGTAGCCACAGAAACAGAATTTTCTAAGAAAAATTGTATGCAACATCTATTATATATAGTGGCTTAGCTCTCCCTTAAATAGTAACAGAAAAGAACAGTACAAAACAATAGTTTCACTTTTTCAACACACAAGAGCATCTTATTGAAAAACTAAAATAAAAAAGTATCACCACAATATAAATCCCCAAATAATAATAATGAAATGGGAAGAAAGAAAAGGAGTTAGCAAAACGTCCTGTAGACTTTGAAGTCTCTTATTACCGCATTAAAAAAAGCTTTTCTCGTGAACCACAATGTTTTGTTTCTCTCTGTTTACAAACCCACTAGACAGGGAACAACGGTGTCCACAACCTACGGCGGGATTGAAAGGTAAAAACATCACCTGCCCCATCTGCAGTTCAGAAAGAGAATGAACCTGAAAGGGCAGTCAGTGAGCGTAGGAACTGCTGAGGACACGGTTTCCCTGCAGGTGGCAGAAACTCATAAGGGGGAGAGGGGTTAGGAAAGCAGAATTCGAGTTGGAACCATGTCGGAAAGTTCTATCTCGGAGGCCTGCAAGACATGAACTACTGAAGAAACAGTCAAAAGGTCCCAATGAAAAGCTGTGACAAGCTGTAATGTGCCATTTCAATTACAAGGAAGAGGGGAAATGTTTGGTTTTTTTTTTTTTGGCTCATCAATATGATGAGCTTTCACGTCCCAAACCACATTCAGGTAGTTTCCAAGTCTGCTTTTTTTGTGTGGAATCTACTGATCCAGACCAAAAAACCAAACAAACAGAACAGGGATGCACAGTTCTTAAGTCCTGGAGCCTTCAACACTGCCTGAAATAATAGCTGGCCTGGGGTATCCAGAGATGCCTGCAAGATGGTGTTCATAGCAGCCTTGCAAGCAGATCGGCTCACATCTGCTATGTGCTGCCAACATTCTGCCCGTCACCTTCATCATTAGGACCTGAAACGAAGAAAGTAGTTCTTTGTCATAAGAAATATCTGTTGTTTCTTGCCTTACAATACGAGGCCCTGCCTGAAAAGCCTACAGAAGTCCCAGACTTAGGATTCCAATGACAGGTGAGAACTGTGAAGTTCCCCCTCCCCCTGCCTTACATCTTCCTTCTCCAGATTAAGTTCTGTCCACTGCAGAATTTTATGTTCTTGTCTAATCTGGTCCGGGGATCCCCGTAGCATCCCAGAGCCCAAAAGCTCAGTTTCCAGCCTCTTCAATCCACCCACTGCTTTTGTTTGTATTCATTCATTCTTTTTTCCCCTGCAGTGAATCAGGATCGAGGACTAGTTTCTGTCAAAGGCTGGAAGTTCCAAGCCACAGGAAAGCAGAGCACAGATGACTCCCAAGTCAGGAGTACAGAAGGAAGCCTTCCTCAAATGGAAGACTCATGCTTTTCTTAAATTATGGTCTCTTCACGCACAATGAAATTAATTACACTCTTTTCACGCCCCTTTGCAAACCTTCTGCTTTCCAAACAGCACTACTCAAGGGTCAGTCTGGATCCTGCCTGCTGGAGGTAGCCCAAGACAGTCATCTCGGGTTTGCCGTGCAAGCCTTGGCCACGTGTAAGGCAAAAACGAAACTCAGAGCCACCCCTTAAAAACCCTGTAAACAAAACTAGAACTAATTGTAGCACAGATAACCTCTGCTAAACTGTGACATGTAACTCGGATGGAAGCAGCACAGGGGCCTTTTTACCAGTTTGAAGAAGCAGCAAGAAACAGTTGCGTTCAAAAAGGCAATTCGGGCAATGAGTCTTATTCCACAAACACCTACGAGAACTAACAGGCCAGAAGTACACCTATAATTCACAGAGAGGACAGCCTGCCTTAAAGGACAACAAAGAAAAATATAAGGAAAACAGGAAACTCCGTTGTCTTTCTTGCTTACCACTTCCAACTGATCCTGAAGGTGCAATGACATCATCATCACTGTCTTCCTCATTTGATTGCGTTACCTCTGGCTCTGGTGCTACATTCTTGACTTCTTGCTCTTGTTCCACTCTACTCCGCAAGGCCAAGATCCGATGGTGTAACGCAGCATACAACTGCCCTGTATCTTTAGAGCTTGCCTACATTTTTTTTTAAATATTAAAAACAAGAAAAAGGTGCAAATAATTATAACAGAATAAAACACCGCTTATGTAATACGCACTGGTCATGCCAAATGTCACCATCTACTCTTCAGTTTTCTCATACAGGGTTTTTCAAACTAGGTCAGAAGGGGTTGTGGTATACATAGCAAGATGCTGGATATACTAAACCCTGATGGTGAGAGTATATTCCTCTCTGCTCAGCACCGACTTTCTCTGGCTAACATAACCAGTACTAGCTGATTTTATATCACCTCCTTCACCTAGGAGTCACGCAGCTTTCCTGATACCCCCCGAAAAGCTTAGGCTAAAAAGATGTGTAATCAATAAGTTTGTCTTAAACAGATTTTTCCAGGTTCATCTATCACTCAACTTCACGTATTAGTTAATCGCAATCAAGTCTCTTGTTTCATGATGCATTGACATAAAATTTCAATGAGAAAACTGAAGAGACATGCAGTCAGCCAAGTGATAATTCAACTTTTTTTTTTTTTTACACTCTTATACCGGTCAGGTGTTTCAGAGAAGCATTTGTGACAGCCTGTCCAAGAACTTTTTTTTACTCTAAGGTTAATGGCTACTTCATGCCTTCAAAAGAATCCATTTTTAGGTCTAATTAAGTATTTAATGGACTTTATTTAAAAGGGAACTCACTTCTGAATACTATGAAACTGTCTTCAGTATATCAATGAAGTCTTCATATTAACGACTATGACCATTACTCCAAGTTAGCTGTAAGGCAACCATCCCAATTCTCAGGTTCTTTCATAAAAAAAATTGTTTCCACCCTCCTCATCTGTCATTTAAATCTGCCACCTCTCTATCTGCAAAATCCCCCTGCATTGAGCTGCAGTGAATAAATTATTCCATACAAGATACTTTTTATCAATACTAAAATAAATAGTGAATAACCTGATGACAGACTAACTCGTCAAATTTAGAAAAATGCTGAGAGTTATCCATTAATTTCACTGCTTTTTCTTCATCAGTGGATATTCGGTACCATTTAAGTTCTGTTCTGGGACTCCAGATCCCAGTCCTACAAACCTAATGTCACAGGGGAAGCCGACCATTTGTTGCTGTTCTTAATTTCTGATCCACAAGAACACTTAATTCTTTAGTAACCCCTTGCCTAGAATCAGTGTAAGTCAAAAGAATGCATTCAGACCTCTCAAAAATCTGTAAGTGCTCTTAGCTGACGTTAGGGAATGACCTTTCTTTCTTGCTGACTGTGTCATAACCTCTCAAGTGGTTTAGTAATTCTAATTGGGATTGCTGTTTCCCCGTTTCCAAGCACAGAAATCACTTTCCTGTTCTGCTACTGCTTGGAATAACTCTGTATTAAAAGAAAAATCAAAGTTTAAATGTGGCACCCTTAACTACTAACAATGTTCCTGACAGATATTTAGCGTTTCACTTCCAGTGAGCACTGATACATCCACCCATGCTGTAGACAGACAATGACAGCTTTCTCACACTACAAGTTCTGGTACATCTAATTTTGGTTAAGCTACTACACAGAGATCTATGAAATGTCTGTCTCCCTTGATAACAAATGATTAGCATGAATCTTACACTAGTTACAGTCTTAATACGTGTAGAACAGATCCCATGTCTCCATGGTCAATGCTTTGGACAATCTGGCTTCCTAGAGCAGCCTTTTATGTGGAATTTCTTCACAATTAGGAAGGCTTTTCAGACAAGCAAAGCCTGCCAAGCCCCTTGTCTTTGGGGAGAGGGTAGTGGTAAGGAGGTAGAGTGCAAAGAAGAGTGGGAACGTTACCCTCAACTACATTTTAGGCAAGCACCAATTTTAGTAGGAAGGTTAAGATCTAAACAAAAACCAGTACTCACTGATATAAGAAAAACTTTAACTCCCTGGTCCTCTGTATCCATGGCGGTGATCCGGATACTCTTCTCGCTGGCTTTATCGATCTGCATCTGAGCCCAGAGCTTGGTATTTAAGATTAACCGGAGACTCCCCTGAGTCCTCATCACTAAAGCCAACATAAAAGATCAGTTAGGTGGAAAAAGACACAACAGGAAGTTCAAAACACTCCAGGTGGCTTTTTATTGTGTGAATGTTTAAGTCTCTTTACAAAGAGTATCAGGGGAAAGCCCTTAGAACAGAAGTCTTGTCACAACTGAGAAGAACGCAGGCTATTAAAGATTATCAGTCATGTCTAAAGGCATTTAGTCCAAAGTCTTATAATTAATATACCAAAGTTCAGTGGTTGGATCTGAGCTGATAATCTCAGGATAATGCCCATTCTGAACCGTCATGCACTATTCAAAAATCCCTTGCCCACAAGCACCCCACCCCAAAAAGGTAAAAAGTCCAGACCTGAAGAATGTTACCAGGAATTTCTAGTCTAATATTCTAGTTATAAATACAGCTTGCTTTTGGGGGGGTGTGTGTGGGAAGCAGTAACTGGATGATTTGCTACAATAGCAGGATATGAAGAGATACTATCTTCGGGAAGAAATGGTCATAAATTGAAGCAAGAGAAAAGGTCCAAACTGCTTTCTGAGTTTCTGTAGCTAGGACATAACCTGAAGTGAATGCTGCTCTGTGTCATGGAAGCATCCCATGAAGACAGCACTGACCATCACCCAGTACCTCATTTCCCTGGTTCCTCTTACCCAGCCGAGACTGTAATGTTCCGTCATCTGTCGAGGCCATATCATTGAGTCTCAGAAGTCCTCGACCTCTTTCCACCCAAGACTGAGAGTTTTTATCAAATACAAACAGCTTGCACTGAATCTGTAACAGAAAATATCTCTGTAGCATAATGGTTGATTGAAGTAATACTGTATTTCATATTTAATCATCTACAGCTGGGTAAAAACCCCTCAGATTTCAAACTGGAATTCTAAATTGTTTATAGCTGGGGAAGCCAGAGTAGTCTTCCTCTCTTTTGCAGTCTATTCCTCAAAATATGCCATCTGGTTTCATACGGTTTTAGTAACAGAAGACGGATACTCTTAAAGAATACCCGTGTTCAAGATCAAACAACAAGAACAATTTTCAGATAAGGTACAAACTTCCACAGAGGAAACTTCTTGTGGTCAGAGACTGGGTAAGAGCCCTCTATAGTCTTACATCAGTCAATTCTTTCAAAGTCAGCTGCACTTCACACCAACAGTGGTATTTGTTGCTGGGAAGACCCAGCACAATGAAAGCAAAGCAAAATTCTTCCTGTATTAAGGAAGAAAGGACGAACAAATGTGTTAGTTCATTACCAATTCATACAGCCTGGCCCACACAAAGTCAGAAATAAACAAGCAGCGTTTTTCAGTTTGAAAAACTACACCTTTTGTACTTTCTAACAGTAGGACTGTTCCTGCTTCCCATAAAAGCACCCTTTTACCTGCCCTGCTAAACATCTGTGGTTTATATCCCCCTCTCTAATCCACCTTCATTGTCACTGCCAAGGTTTCATACTTCAAACCGTCACCCCTCGAGTTCCCCACATGGCATGCACCAGGTGGAGAATATATTTCCATTTTTCATTCCTTCCATTTCTCTCATTTTCTCCAACATAGAACACCTCGCTCTGTGCACTTCATTTCTGCAACGTTAACATAGTTCTGTCCGTACAAGTCCCATTCAGGATTCCAGTGCATTGAATTTCACGGGAAAAACCAACAGAAGTTAGGTGAGAGGTCTGTTCAGTTACAACATATTCACACAAATCAGTCCTCTATTAAGTATAACAACTGCTAAATTTGTTGTTTTCCTAAGTGAAACAGGACATTCATCTCTTCAGTGTCTTGTTCGATTACATGAAGCATCCAGGATTTTCTGAATTATACAGAAACAGAGGTTTCATCATGTCTTTTTAGACATTAGGAACAATTCCTTCCCCTTGGGGCTGTCAGGGGCTGGAAGGGGCTGCCCAGGGAAGGGGTCGAGTCCCCAGCCCTGGGGGGATTTAACAGCCGGGCAGAGGCGGTGCTGAGGGCCAGGGTTTGGGGGTGGGATGGCAGGGGTAGGGGAGCGGTTGGGCTGGGGTAGCTGAAAGGGCTTTTCCAGCCTAAACGATTCTGTGATTCTATGAAACACCAGAACAACCGTTTAAGACCATTCATGTCTTAACCAGAGTTAAGTCTGAGAAGACAAATGTTATATATTATTATTTTGTGGGATAATACAGGTTTAACTGATACACAGAGTGTACTGGTAGAGTGCATCTGTGATGTCAGAACAGACCAGCGTGTCTGTAAGAACAAAAAGCTGTCCTTAAAAGCTAATGCAGTTCAAAGGCTGAGAAACTGTAAAGATCAAGAACAAAAAACTAATTGGAGGATAAAGAGAGGAAGGAAAAACAGATATACCACTTAGCGTTACATGAAAACCCTGCACATTTTTAAGGACATACTGAAGTTAATAAGTATATTTAAGTTAATGAATAACTACAATGTTAAATAAATCACGATTAAAATCGGGAGTCTAAGTCATGACCGAACGTCCTTCTAAAACATCACTAATTCAATTAAGTACCTCAAGACAAATTCCTGAGTACGGTTTTATGGTTTCTGCTATGTGAGAAACCAGACTGCTGGCATAACAGTCCATGCTGAGTTTAAAAAAATCTTTAGTACAATAATTAAAGAACTTAAAAATATTTAGTTCATTTAAATTTTCTTCAAACAATCGTTTTGTAGAAGATAAAAGCTTTTGTGTGGTGGATTCAGGAAAGTATGCTTGAGGTTCATCTGGATGCCCAAACACTAAAATTTATTCAGCACGAAGAAACTAACAATAAAGTAAGGATCTGATAAGAAATATTCAAAGTTCGCGGTTTAACACAAGAAAGTCCATTAGCAAGAGGATGGCTGAGCTGGTGTGCATTCACTGGACACCCACGTGAATCCCCAGTAACTCAAAGCTCCTCCACTTTATCCGCGTCTTACCTGTAACACATTACTTTCAGCTTCCTCCCCAGTAATCACTTCTACCTTCGCTAACAAGCACTTCCTCGCCGTTGCTTTAGTATAGGCTGCTGCAGACTCTGCCAGCGACTCTGAAATATTATTAGCTGAACAACATTTTGAAAGTTTGAGAATGAGTAGCAGGTAATTTTGTAACACTTATAAAGGTCTCACACAAGTATACTGGAATTTGGAGGAATAAAGTACAGCGGACAGACATTAATAGAACATTAGAAATAGAACTGAAGTTTAAAGCAGAAGTTAAAGCTTGTCTTTTAAGACTTGTTTTAAAAGCACAAGACAACAAAAGGGACAGAAGGGGTAAGTTATTGACAAATTTTCTCCCCACATACAATATTTCAAAGCCTTTGCTAACACACAGACACCTACATAGCTATAGGCGCTCCAGCAGAACTGATACTGCTACCAGCCATACAGTTGTGCCTGCACACCTACAGCACGGTTCATTTTCCACATTTGTTTTGGATTGCAAGCAGTTTTTCTGGAGAAAACCCACAGCTCCCAAAATGTCCAGAAAATCTTGCCAATCTGAGGCGTCACGTAAGTCTAGAATCCAGCAAGCAGTTCTTGGTTCAAGTAGCACTTTTGGTGCACCCACTCAATACAACACACTTTTGACTCAAACATTCAGTCACTGGAAGTGTAATAGAATTGTTAAAAAACAGTTTGCCACATCTCTTCTACGCTCTGTAGGTCCAAGTACCTGCTCTGTTAATTCCATCTACTTTCATTCTGCTGAAGATACTCCCGATACCACAGAACGACTATGAAAAAGGCACCGTAGCCTGTACGTGTTAATATTAAAGACAAAAAGACAAGAGAACCTATAGCATCCAGCACACTGCAAGCCTGTATCTTCGGTTACAGCAGACAGTAAGGCAACCTAAAAATGTTACGTTTTTATAAAGTAATGGGATAATGAAAAAGGCAATAATTTAAACAATTAACTACCATTCCCAAGATAATATTTTGTTTTTCACCTTTCTCTGGCGTGGCTTCCTGAGAAGATGATTCAGACCCAGACTCTGTAGCAGCATTCTCCTTATTACTCTCTGTACTACCTTCATTCGATTTTGGTGGACTCTATCGCAAAAAGAGGCGGCAGTAAACAGAAGAGAGAAAGCACACATTAATTTTGCAGAACAAGACTAGTGATCAGTTACTGAGGGAAGCCCCAGCATTTATAAACCATGCAGCAAAAGAAGAATCCCACAAATCGCATCCTTTCACAGTAAAAGCTATCCTACTGCTCCGGCCAAAGAACTGCATGGAGCATGACCTGAAAACTAGTTCAAATTATTTTCACCCGAACTGAAACCAAATTTCAACCCTTATGTTGAAGTTACATTCACCAAAGCAAACCAATTTCAGCCACAGTTCAACGCAAGGCACACCTGACCGAACTCCCTGCTCCGTGGTCAGACAGGTTTGAATGCACAGCATTAAGCGTTTCCCTTTTGTACCAGCAGAGCAATAAAAACAACGGTAGGAAACGGTGAGGCACTAGGAGTTATACTTTACACAATAAAGACAGACTTTCCTGAATCACAGCTCAGTACTGGGGCAGACTGCCAGACCCGAAATCCCATCACTGGGGGTCTTAGCTCAGTACTGGGGCAGCTGCCTTACTGCCAGACCCGAAATCCCATCACTGGGGGTCTCCTAACTGACCCGTTCTCAATTTGGAGGGTAACAAACACAAAACACCCGCAAATGCTTGTATTGAAGAAGCCATTTAAAGAAGCAAGCTGTGCCATAAAGTGCTTGGAATTGAGGACCACATGCGCTACCGAGAAGGCCCTCAGTCTCCTATACACCGGTAGAGCTTGGCAGGGAAATCCTGGAGAGCACTGCTGTTGCAGCAATAGCTCCTAACAAGGCCCTCACGCTGCGCTCAAAATAAGTTACCTACAAGGGAAACCACTGAACACCCCCCCCATGCTCCAGTGACAAATATAGTTAAAGGTTCTCAAAATTCCTGAGAGAACCTATAACAAACTACTCACAAAATTACAACATTTCACACACAGCGGATACTCACTAGGACTCGCTCACTCATGTTCTGTCCAAAAACAAACTTGTTGCTAGATGCATCTGCACTGTTTGTAGAGTTCTCTACACTGAAAAAAAAAAAAAGAAAAAACCAAATCAAACCAGGTTTTGTAAGTCAGAAAAATATCTGTTGATCTTCTACTGATAAAATTCCTCGAAAGGTGAGCCATTGGCACTGGCTTTAAGAATTAGGCACCGGTTGACACAGAAACATAAGCAAAAATGAATTCAGCTTAGTGACATGAGAACACACGCTGGGTTTACAGAATGAGAATTCTCTCAGAATAATGACAAATAATTTTGTCAGTGTCTTCCCTTCATACATCTGATTACATATTAACCAATGCTGAATATGTGAGGGCTTGCTGTTTAATCATATAACGTACTTTTATTTTAAACAGTATTCTACATGCACAAACTTGAACCGCTAGGTGGTTTTAGGTCAATTTTCTCATAAAGAAAAAGAACTGAAACAAAACCACTTGCAGTATCATAACTGAAGCAAAAGTAGCAGGGATAAGTAATGCCTTTCATTAGATGAGCTGCAGCGCTACAACCTCCCCAAGAAGTTTCACGACCAAATCTGAGCCCTCATATCTTCCTTACGGAATACGCATCCTCCTCCCCTGTGGCATTCTCCTAGAGAAGCTGGCGGCTCACAGCTCAGACGGGCGCACTCTTTGCTGGGTGAAAAACTGGCTGGAAGGCTGAGACCCAAGAGTTGTGGTCAACGGAGTTAAATCCAGTTGGTGGCTGGACACAAGTGGTGTCCCCCAGGGCTCAGTTCTAGGGCCGGTCTTAATATCTTTATCAGTGACCTGGACTAGGGGATCAAGGGCACCCTCAGTCAGTTTGCAGATGACACCAAACTGGGTGGGAGGGTCAATTTGCTCGAGGGGAGGAGGGCTCTGCAACCCGGACACGCTGCATGGATGGGCCCAGGCCAACTGTATGAGGTTCAACAAGGCCAAGTGCCAGGTCCTGCACTTCAGTCACAACAACCCCATGCAATGCTACAGTTGGAAAAGGCCCTGGGGAGGTTGGTCAACAGGCAGCTGAATATGAGCCAGCAGTGTGCCCAGGTGGCCAAGAGGGCAAAAGGCATCCTGGCTTGGATCAGGAGTGGTGTGGCCAGCAGGAGTAGGGAAGTGATCTCCCCCTGTCCTGGGCACTGGTGAGGCCACACTTCGAATACTGTGTCCAGTTTTGGGCCCCTCACTACAAGAAAGACCTTGGGTTGCTGGAGCGTGTCCAGAGGAGAGCAGCGGAGCTGGGGAGGGGTCTGGAGCCCCAGGCTGCTGGGGAGCGGCTGGGGGAGCTGGGGGGGTTCAGCCTGGAGCAGAGGAGGCTGAGGGGAGCCCTCATCGCTGCCTACAACTGCCTGAGAGGAGGG